ACTGACTGACTGACTGACTGACTTACTGACTGACTGACTGACTTGATGACTTACTTACTTACTGACTGACTGACTGACTGACTTGATGGCTTACTGACTGACTGACTTACTGACTGACTGACTGACTGACGATGACTTGCTGACTGACTGACTGACTTACTGACTGACTGACTGACTTGATGACTTGCTGACTGACTTACTGACTTACTGACTGACTGACTGACTGACTTACTGACTGACTGACTGACTTGATGACTTACTTACTTACTTACTTACTGACTGACTGACTGACTGACTGACTTGATGACTTGCTGACTGACTGACTGACTGACTTACTTACTTACTGACTGACTGACTGACTTACTGACTGACTGACTGACTGACTTACTGACTGACTGACTGACTGACTGACTGACTTGATGACTTGCTGACTGACTGACTGACTGACTTACTTACTTACTGACTGACTGACTGACTTACTGACTGACTGACTGACTGACTTACTGACTGACTTACTGCTAGCTTTACTCCTAGCATCCATGCTAGCCTCATACATCWRTCTACTGCAGTCGGTCACACATACGGTGTACTTAAACAAATTTTGCACCCACAGACACACATGATAGATGTAACAAACTAAGCTAGAAAACACTGGTAAAAACACCAATCTTTTAATAATTCCACTCACTTTTCATATCTGTTGAAGACCTCGACCCTCTGACCACCTTTCAAATGAACTTTCCTGTGATRCCTGAGTTATGTGTTGAAATTCCATGTGGGAACATCTTTTTCTGTTACGGTACTAACACTGACTCTCTGATCAGTGCCCATTGTTGGGCACATACATGGGTATGTAATGATATGTGCGACATCATGAGTGAAGATCACCTTTGGCAAAACCTAATTTAGGAGAAGCTAACTGGTCCGCTACTGGTTTTCAAAGTTAGTAAAAAAGTAAATCTGCTAAGCTGAAAATGAGTTCTGGTATTAGCTGATTAGTGTAAGCTCAGGATTTCCCCAGAGGAGCTGGTCCAAGTGCCTATTGAGAGGGAAGTCTGGGTCTCTCTGCTTAGGCTGCTGCCCCCACAACCAGACCCCCTGATAAGCAGAAGGAGATGGATGGACAACATTAAAAAAAAAAAAAAAAAACAATTTGTGGCTTAAAGGATCATTTATTTAAGAGTTAGGAAAATTAAGTGAAATCAACAAACAACTGCACCTTTGAGATCAGCAATATTATGTCTTTTTATCTTGGTGGGTAAAAGCTTCAGTAATAAAGCCAAGTTTGTGCAACATTTCTCAGTGTTTCCTTTTCATGAAAACTGTTCTGCGATGGACAGAGGTCAGGTGAGAGATGTGATTGTATTTCTGCTCTCTGACAGGCCAAACAGTCTCACCTCAGACTCAGCCGTCCAACAACGAGGCCAGACAGGATGTCAGCCGAGAAAACAGCACTGTTGACTTCAGCAAGGTGAGCGGGCAGAACCACCACKGATCCAGATGTTTATCTACGGCCATCGATATCTGGATGCCTGAACAGGGGTTGTGTATTCAACTAGTTTTGTCTTACAGGTGAAGTGTTTGTTTTTGTCCCCTCCCTGTCAAACAGATCGACCTCCACTTCATGAAGAAGATCCCTCCCGGTGCCGAGGCCTCCAACGTCCTCGTGGGGGAACTGGACTTTCTTGACCGTCCTGTGGTGGCCTTCGTGCGCCTGTCTCCTGCCGTGCTGCTCAACGGTCTGACTGAAGTTCCCATCACCACCAGGTGAAACAGAAACTTCACAAACATCCCCTGCGTGCGTCACCAGAAAAGGATCTAATGTTTACCCAGAACTTCTTGTTCTTTGTTTTTTTGCGCAGGTTTTTGTTCATCCTCCTCGGGCCTCTGGGGAAAGGGCCACAGTATCATGAAATTGGTCGATCTATTGCAACACTGATGACTGACGAGGTGGGACCATAGACCGTAGTCCAGTCCTGGTTCTGGGCCACTATCCTGCAGGTTTTAAAGATTTCTCTGCTCCRARACACCTGATTAATGGACTGAATCAGGTGTGATGGAGCAGAGAAACAGGGAAAACATGTAACTAACCCTGCTTTTAACTTGTCTGATGAGTTCCTTGTTCTTCATGATGCTGTTTGATATGATTCTCTGTTCACAACAGTGGATTATGACTTAGTGACGTTAACTCTTTGGTTAGCTGTATCCACCACTAATTATAGGTACTAAAGTAAAACAATACTGTATATTGGATTAAATAGAATGAATGTACTGAGAGCCGTTTCATTCATATTGAAATAAATAAATAAATAAATAAATAAATAAATAAATAAATAAAT